ATAATAAGTGTGTGGAATACAATGTGTGGAACACATTCAAGTAAGTAGTAGTTCCATATAATTGATCACGGGAAACTAACTCCAACTGATTGTTCGATGGAGCATAATAATTGGATCTGAGCTGAACGTTTATATTGGTGAGTACTGTGCTGGTGTACTACAAGGGTACAGTGGCAGGTTATACGTACAGTTGTAGTGTACTGCAGAGGTGCAGTGGTGAACTATTACTAACCGTCTTACCATCCGAAGATTTCATGTCAACAGACGCATTCATACTCACCACTTGTTCTGCAAAAAATACATATACTTATTAGAATATATACGCACGTGTACATATTATTATTACAATGAAAGCTGATCGCTAATCTTACAAGGGGGGTCATTCAGTATGTGTGTGTGTGTGTGTGTGTGTGTGTGTGTGTGTGTGTACTCACCTAACTGTGGTTACAGGGGTCAATTCATAGCTCCTGGCCCCGCCTCTCCACTGGTCACTATTAGGTCCACCCTTTCTCTGCTCCCTGGGCATTATTCATTTATTTTATTTATTTTTTATTTATTTTACGTCTTTGCAAACAGTACATTGAGATTTTATATTTACAATAGTGGGTTGTAATGTAAAGAGAGCCTCTATTATGCCTAGGCATTATGGGCCAACTTAACATTATTGGCTTACAGACTACTTAACACTAAGGATTTTATCTTAGTTGTACAGTAGGACAGTAATTATTTCATAGCTGAACAGTTTAAAAATTATAAGTGAATTAAATTTGTATAAACAAAGATATTTTCATAAGCCCTAAAATGCTTTTTTGAAAACAAAGGTTAAATTTTATTTCCTGTCAACAAGGATAAAAGGTTCAAGGTTGCTGAATTTATGATGTAGGAGTACATAGGTATATTTGTACTGAGTTTTTGGGCGTTTGGTCTAGGGGATTAAGGGGCTTTTGAGAGATCTTAAATGATTTTCAGACGGGGTTCTTTGAATCTTCGGGAATGAATTCATTTTTTTGGGGCCCTTTACGTGCTAGAGTTTTTACAAGTGGTATGGACACGGGGAATAAAAAAGAATCTGTGTCTTGTGTTGTGGCCCTGTTCCTGTTTATGTTGTGAGGAGAAGTTTGAGGGGGGGTTTATATTTGCGGTTTTGTTCGTGAAATGTAGTGGAACATAAATAAGAGGGAGTTCTTAATGGTGAGAAATTCAATTTTTAAAAAATTGGGGGGATAGCTGCGGGAGGGGGAATTTGTCACATTTTTACTGCTGCCTTTTGCGGGGTTATTAGGGGTTTGGGTGACGGGATGTTTTTGATTCCCATGCAAAAAACCATTTGAAAGAAAAGGTATTGAGTGAATGGTACAGTGCCAGGGGGTGATTGTAGACCGTGTCCTTTCTTGATTAGCCTCTTTTTGGAATTTTTTTGGTGTTTTTGTGTGTGTGTGCTGGAAATAAGGGCTACTGTCAAGGTGGAAACCCGGGAATTTTCCCTCTGTGAGTCTTGGACTGTGATCCATTAGCGTTATGTTAATCGGATCTTTGCAGCTTTTTTCCAAAACTGAAAAAAAAGGTTTTATCAGTTTTCGGGTAATTTATTAGTCATCATCGGGCAGATATTTTCTGAAATTTTCGCATTGCTGTGTTTGTGTATGATGTGTTTGGGTGGGAAAAACATATGAAAGTATCTGCAAAAAATTGGGTTTGAGTAGCTGTGATCATTCTTTAATCTTTGATGTAAAGAGAAAGGGGGTGGCCCCAAGGACTTTTCCTTTGGGCCCCATGTGTTTGGGTTGTTTGGAAGATTTGCATTTTTTGCATACAAAATTTAAGTTTCTTTTACAAATATGTTTTTGGGTGTTGGGGGAGGGGCCCTCTGATACTATGCGTTAATTTTGGGAGTACAGCAGCTCATGGCGATGTATCGAAAGCTGTACGTAAATCAATGAAAGCCCAGGACTTTTTTCTTTTCGAGTGCGGTATATTTAGTTCAGAGTGTTTGATAGCATCATTCGTGCTTTCTTTTTTCCTAAACCCAAAACTGAAAAGGGGTTTTAATATGTTGGTGAAACGGGGGTAGAATAGACCCGTCTAAAATTTAATTTTAAAGATTTTAGAGGAGGGAAAGTTAGATATTGGTCTGTAGTTATTCAAGTCCTTGGTCACCCCCTTTTTGTGGGGGTGACCCTCGTTTTTTTTGAGGATTTTTGGGAAGGTATCTGATTCAAGGGATTTGTTAAAGAACCGCAATAAGGTGAAAATATTTGAGAAGCTTTTTTTACAAAAAAGCGGGAAAGTTTTTTATGCTCCTCCCTTTGTTTTTAGGGTGTTTATGAGATGAAACTTTCTTGGGTTGGGTTGGGCTAGGAAAGTGTTTTTGGGGTGGTACCTATGAGGTGTCTGATGGACGGGTGTTTACGCTTGGTTTTTTGTTCGCAGTTTTTTTAACTATGGGGGAGAAAAAAACATTGAGTCTGCTGTTTCAGTAGGTTGGGAGTAGGGGTTAAATTGTTTTTGTAATTTTGATTTTTTTGTTTTTGGATAACTTTTTATTTCCAAATTTCAGATAGATTTTTTCATTTTTTTCCATATCACCTTTGATGTTATGTAGTCTGTTTTCAATACAACTTTTTAGATTTCTTTCAGGTGGAAAGTGCTGACAGTAACATTTAGATGTTCCTAGTTTTTGACCCATTCTATACTTTTTTTCATAATTTGTTCTTTGTGTTAATGGGTCCGGGATGTTTTTTGTTAGCCAGGATTATTCGTCCTTTTCTGTGAGTTTGTTTTTTTGGGGGAATGTTTGTTATGACTTTGGGCTTTTTTTTTTTGAAAAAATTTTTTAAACATTCTTCTATCTGTATTGTTTTTGAGCTCATTTTGCCAATCGATGTTATTCATAGCTGCTATAAAGTTGTTAAATGCTGTCTCGTTATGTATTGAAGGGTTTCTTTAGTGATGTTTGTGCAGTTTGCCCAGATTAGTTATGGAAAGGTTGGTATGGTCTGTAGTGTTGTCTGGATTTGCCCGATTTTTAAAGGGTATGATGTTTTTAAAAATGTGGTCTATTAAAGGGGATACTTTCTCGATGATTCTTTTAGGGTTTTGATTTGTTGTAGCAACAGGGAGTTACTATTTGTTTTTTGGGAATTTGGGGGCTGTGGGGCCGTCGTGTAGCAGTTATGTTGAAATCTCCCGTTAGTAGTGGTGGGCTTCATTCATGTGCCATCAGTAATCATGTTTCCTGTTTTTCACTGAAGTGGGGGAAAGTTTTACGTGGATCTGTAGATGTTTTTAACTGTGAGGGGTTTTTTTCAGGGCTTTTGATTTAAATTGGCTATGAATATTTCCTTTCACCTGGCAAATTTATCGTCATTTGAGTTGATTTGAGTAGATATAGCGTTCCTCCCCCTTTTTGGTCTGTTCTACATTTGATGGCCCCTTTTGCCGGAAGGGGATAGACATCGTAAAATTTGGCTTAAACCGGTTTTTGTGGTTTTTGATGATTGATTTTTGGAAAAGAAGGGGGAAATTTTGTAATGCTGTGGGTAATAGGTTTTTTCAAGGGGCTGAATTTTTAGTTAAAGATGGTTTTGTTATTGTTTGCACTGAGTAATGTCTTTTCTTTGGGCTGCTGTAAGTAATTACAGTTACTGTTTGATTCGGATTCATTTAGTAAAAAAATTTAAAATCAGGATCTATGTCGTAATCTAGGATGAAGTAATTTTACAAATAGATTTTCTGAGTAAATAAATAAGAGTTATTTGAATCTACAACTAGATTAGAATAGACTCTGAATTATTCTAAAACTTGTAAAAATTTTAAAAAAAAAAGGGGTTTTTTACAGACAGATAATTAGTTTTTACAATTAACATTAACACACCCAATTATTTTAACAAATTGAGTTTATGGACTACGGGAGATATTTACAGCTAGAAAAAAGGAGCTATGAATATAATAAAAAAAGAAAAGATTAAAAAACAAGAAAGTATTAAAACAAAAACAGTAGCACCTGAGGAGTCAATAGCACCTGGAGTATTTTAAAAAAAAAGACTATATTGACAAGAGGAAAAAAAAATTTAAAACCCTGAAAGTTGCTCTTTTAAATTTTAGTTAGAATAAGTATAGCATTACTGAGTAAAGGCGTACAATGATTGGATAAGAAATTATTTCAGGGGAAATGTAAAAAGGGCAATTAAGTAGTGGTAAAAACAACCTTTAAATAATTGACACTAGAATGAAATTAATCTGAGATGGAATTTTCCTTTTAAAAATTTTAGCAACTGATATCACAAAAAAAATTATTTGAGGTAGTGATACTAGTTAGTGGAAGATGGTACAAGGAATTGTACTGTATTTTTTTAGGAGATACTCCCCTTTAAAACTAGCATTTTTCCTACCCCAGCATCACTCTCCGACTATTCTATTCCGAAAAACTCTAGGGCTGAAGAAATATTTCCAACATCCTGTACTCACTGAGTTTCAACTTCCGGTTGTGACCCATATTGGTGTGTCACATCTCTGAAACATTCTGTCCCTTGTCCACCCTGTCAATTCCTCTCAGTATTTTGTATTTTTGTTATCATGTCTTTCCCTATCCCTCTTGCCTTCCAGTGTTGTCAGGTTGAGTTCCCTCAACCTTCTCGTAGGACATACTCCTTACCCCGGGGACTAGTCTTGCCGCAAACCCTTTTGTACTTTCTTTTAATTTCCTGACGTCTTGGGCAGGTGTGGTTCCAAACTGGTGTTATATACTCCAGTATGGGCCTGGTGGTGTGTGTGTGTGGGGTGTGTGTGTTGGGGTTTGGTTTGTGGGGGCAATTGTTTTGCTTCACATGTGCATAATGCATTTGTGTGCATCTGAGAGAGATCCATAATTTACATGTGTGCGTATGCAGCACATATACATAACAGCTAAGGAAACGATACACTGGACGAGTATGTGTAACTGGACACACCTTAGCATGAGCAAGTGTATGTAGTATATCCTATATGAAAGTGAGACTGACCTTCCTGCGCCAGCACCTGTCCAGCTACCACCATCATTCCTACTATCACCACCACCACCATCGTTGATGTTGTCGTCACAACCATCGTGGAGAACCTGTAAGAAGACACACGAAGATCTCCCTTAATACTTTCCCTCCTATTAAACACCTGCAGTGTCTTTACTCCCTCAGCACCCCTCAAGAAAGGTTCCTTGATGTTGGTGAGGGGCTCTTGATTTAGGGAATTGGATCTGTGCTCCAGTTCCCCGAATTAAGCCTGAATGCCTTCCACATCCCCCCCAGGCGCTGTATAATCCTCCGGGTTTAGCGCTTCCCCCTTGATTATAATAATAATAATAATAACTCCCTCAGCAAGACTAGCAGGTAGTTAAAAACAGTGCTTGTTTACCTACCGCAAGTTACAGCAGTAGAGTTGTTACAGTCATTATTATACTTATGGAAGGAGGAATGGGAGGCATTAAAGATTGCTTGGAAGTCTTTTCTCTGCAGGGATTCAGGGGGGAGTGCCTTCATGCTGTTGAAGGGCTCTTGTTCCAAGGCATCATAACTACTCCCCCTTTCCTTCCATCAAACATGATTTCCTCTCATATAATAATAATAATAATAATAATAATAATAATGATAATAATAATAAAGTATTATTGTAGGATACATTGGTAGCTTGCGCATAAAGAGAGGAAGATCATTATTACAGTTACAACTAAGCGCTAAACCCACAAAGGTCAAGGAAAGAAAGAGAAGTTAATACATAGAAGCTTGAGAGTGCTCAACAATGTGTTAGTACCAGCACCAGTACCAGCACCAGCAGCAGTACCAGTAGCACCAGTACCAGTAGTACCAGCAGCAGCACCAGCACCAACACCAGTACCAGCAGCAGCACCAGCAGCAGCACCAGTACCAGCAGCAGCACCAGTACCAGCACCAGCAGTACCAGCAACAGCACCAGTACCAGCACCAGCAGTACCAGCAGCAGCACCAGTACCAGCACCAGCACCAACAGCACTAGCACCAGCAGTACCAGTACTAGCACCAGTACCAGCAGCAGCACCAGTAGTACCAGCGTCAGCACCAGTACCAGCAGCAGCACCAGCAGCAGCACCAGCAGCCGCACCAGCAGCAGCCTAGTACCAGCAGCAGCACCTAGTACCAGCAGTTGCACCAGCAGCACCAGAACCAGCAGCAGCACCAACAGCACCAGCACCCGCAGCACTAGGACCAGCAGCAGCAGTACCAGCAGCACCAGCAGCACCAACACCAACAGCACCAGCAGCAGCACCAGTACCAGTACCAGTACAAGCAGCAGCACCACCACCAACACCACCAGCACAAGCACCATTACCAGCAGCGGCACCAGCAGCACCAGTACCAGCAGCAGCAGCACCAGCAGTACCACCAGCAGCATCAGCAGCACCAGCACCAACACCAGCAACACCAGCAGCAGCAGCACCACCACCACCACCAGATATTGTAGTCCAGGGTTCTCCAGATATTGTAGCCCATGATTCTCTAGATATTGTAGCCCAGGATTCTCCATATGTTGTAGCCTAGGGTTCTCCAGATATTGTAGCCCACGGTTCTCCAAATATCCACTGCCAAGGGTTGATGGTACTATCGAAGGGATCAATAAATGGTTGAGGGTCACAAGGGGTCTGTATATGATTAAAGAAGGTTTTAGCCATGCAAGTGCAATGCTAACTAAGCGAGGGAACAGAGTGACCGTGGAAGAGCCTGGTGACTTACCACTATAACTCACCAATCACCAACCAAACAACAGCGTCCTGGTTGACACTCACCAGACGCATTCTGACCATTCATGATATCAACAGTCTAAGTAAAAAAAACAGGCTGTGTTAAATCTTATATTATCCATAATTCAATTATTATTATTATTATTATTATTATTATTATTATTTATTATTATTATTATTATTATTCGTAGGACTATTAGTTAAAGTACTACATATTTACTAAATTATTTTCATATAATAAATGTTTAGGGGTTGATGAATAATCTGAAACTTCAGCATTATTGAGCTCTGCCAGCATAATTGAACCCTGCCAGCATAATTGAACCCTGCCAGCATAATCAAACCCTGCCAGCATAATTGAACCCTACCAACATATTTGAACCCTGCCGGCATAACTGAACCCTGCCGGCATAATTGAACCCTGCCAGCATAATTGAACCCTGCAAACATAATTGAACCCTGCCAGCATAACTGAACCCTGCAGCATAATTGAACCCTGCCAACATAATTAAACCCTGCCAGCATAATTGAACCCTGCCAACATAATTGAAACTCTGCCAACAAAACTGAACCCTGCCAACATAATTGACCCTGCCAACATAATTAAACCCTGACAGCATAATTGAACCCTGTCAGCATAATTGAACCCTGCCAACATAATTGAAACCCTGCCAACTAACCTGAACCCTGCCAACATAATTGAACCCTGCCAACATAATTGAACCCTGCCAACATAACTGAACCCCCCTGCCATCATAACTGAACCCTACCATCATAAATGATCCCTACCAACATAACTGAACTCTGCCAACATAAGTGAACCTTGCTATTATACTTGCCCTCAAGTTGACTTACGATAATGAATCTGACTCCGAGATAACTATTAATTCTGTATCACTGCTGAATGCACAAAACTCACACGGATATTAGGACACACATAGAAGAATCAAGTACAGATGTAAATAATCAAGGGAGAGAAACTGTTGTAAAAAAATTTTGGAGTTCCTATTTTAATGAAGAGTTCCTTCATGATAAGCTCAATGAATTAACTCAGGAAAGCATTCAGTGAGAAGACGAATTTAACTTTTGCCCCTCTGCTTCAAATGTAATAAAAATAATAAGAGGGAGTTGCACAATAAGTGAGATTGTCACATAAATAATAATATATAATAATATCTTTATTTACTACAAGTACATGTACATGGTATACAGTCCTAGCTGACATCAATGACATACTACTATATGGAAAGCTCCTTGTTATGCAAAGCATTTCGGGCAAATTAGGTTAGTGTCCCAGCATGCGACCCACACCAGTCCACTAACTCCCAGGTATCCATTTTACTGATGTAAAGAAACACGCCCAGTGTTTCTACAGTTGAAAGAATTAGTGAATCTATAACCCACTATAACAAATGTAGACAGGTATATTTACAGAACAACTTGGAATGTATAGATGTTATACTTGCAAGAGTTGGGTATAAGTATATATTTGAGTTTAGTATACGTACGGGCAATAAAGAGGTTTTATATACCTATATGGTGACTACAGTGTGAAGATGTTGATTTTGGTGACTGATACAGTATTTCAGACACGTGTAACAACCTTATATGTATTCACCTGAAGAACGTTGAAGCAGCAACCACAGCAGAACAACAATAGCAACAGCAGCAGCAAAGTCGTGACAGCAGCAACACTCCTCTTGTCTTCTAATGAACAGGCTAGCGTTGGTGTTCTCTTTATATATAGAGTGCTGGAACATTGCCCCCTACTCCCTCCTCCTCCTATGCTTCCTCACCAGAATCCTCCTCCCCACAACACCTTCCCCAGCCCAGGAGGAACCACCCCTCCCCTCAACAAACCAGTCCCGCACGAACATCCCCCACCCACAACCCCCACCCACTACCCGCACTTCACTAGTCAGGTGAACGTTTTCCCATCTGTGTTCTCGTGCATAAGCAATGACCTCTCATGAACTGCCTCAGCACCAACACCATCACCAGTATACCCGTACAATAACACCTATTACTATAAAAATAGTTTACACACCAGTACGAGTAGAACAAAGAAGAGCGAGGGAAGTATACAACCTTGGGGACCAAAGGCTGCTAACCTCTCTGGAAGAGGACCTCGGGGTGGGCATAGTTCCGAACATCTCACATGAGGCACACAGCAACCGAATAACAGCTGCAGGAAAGGTCAGGCTGGCAAATTTCAGGTTAGCATTTGATAAAGCACTTCAAGAAAGCTAAAAAAAAAGTGCAAAGCTTTACAGTGAAGCTAGTATAACCTGACGACACTAGAAGGCTAAAAGACCAGGGGTGATATGAGTACGACCTACAAAATACTGAGAGGACATAAGAGGGTGGAGACCGCGAGTCTGCTTGAGAGACGAATCTCAGGTAGGTGAAAACACAGCTGCATAGATGACTTACAAGAATGTTGGGAAATTCTTCTTTAGCTTCAGAGTTGTCAGGAAGTGGAACGACCTAGACAGCGAAGTGGTAGAGGCAGGATCCAGACATAGCTTTAAGAATGGGCAAGGCAGGCTAGCTGAGCCTTCAACCATGCAACCACAAATAGGTAAGTACAGCTTACTGAAGTTCTCGGTCAGACAACAGAAAACTTCAGTAAGGCTTTCGATAGAGTTCCACATCAGAGGCTATTGAGGAAACTTAGGGCACGCGGAGTAAGAGGAGAAATATTTTCCTGGGCAGAGCATGGTTGACAAATAGGCAGCAGAGTTTGCGTAAATGGGGAGAAATCAGAGTGGGGAGGGGGTCATATGACCCGTCAGAAATCACTTGCCTTGTTTCCTGAAGACTCTTACCTAACTTAACCTACTTTTGTTTCTATATTGCGTTGATAAATACTATGTCAGCGAAACGTTTGCTTGGTAAAGACAGCTAATGTTGCGCACATGATTCGTTGTCGTTATTATATACCTTGTTTAAAACACACTAAGATCATTATACAGCTACTGCAGTACAAGTATTCAGCTACACCATCACCAGTATACAGATTATACAGATACAGCAGCATCAGTATACAGCTACACCAGCACCACTACAAGGAAGCCAAAAATAAATACCCTCCTGGGAGTCAAGAAAGCACCTGACCCACCAAGGCAGCCTCACATGCAACACAATATTGCCAGCTGACCTACGCCTCAACAATATAAGAGATTCATTAAGGAATCTAGTCCGAAATACATAATAATTTATGACAATTTACACATGTTGAAGGATTCCTTGAGTATGCGGCACCACCATGGAATTCACACTAAGTAAAATAAGAAAGAAAATTTAAATGATTGAAGAGGTGTAATCGTGCTGAGTAGGAGGTTTGATAATTATCACACCTCTTGCTCAGCACGATAACGTAATAAGCACTCTGTGAAGGGGATAAACAGATACATAGTTTGTACAGTAGAGTAGTTAACAACATGTCAGTAGAAAAATTAACAACACCCATGTTCGCAGAGCAGTTAACAACATGTCTGCAGAGTAGTTAACGACAACCATGTCTGCAGGTAGAAGATGATGGTAGTGGATGATGGTAGTGGATGGTGGTAGTGGATGATGGTAGTGGATGGTAGTAGTGGATGATGGTAGTGGATGGTGGGTAGTGGATGATGGTAGTGGATGGTGGTAGTGGATAGTGGTAGTGGATGAGGTAGGATATGTAGTGGATGGTGGAAGTGGATGATGGTAGTGGATGGTGGTAGTGGATGGTGGTAGTGGATGGTGGTAGTGGATGATGGTAGTGGATAATGGTTGTGGATGATGGTAGTGGATGGTGGTAGAGGATGATGGTAGTGGATGGTGGTAGTGGATGATGGTAGTGGATGATGGTAGTGGATGGTGGTAATGGATGATGGTAGTGGATGATGGTAGTGGATAATGGCTGTGGATGATGGTAGTGGATGGTGGTAGTGGATGATGGTAGAGGATGATGGTAGTGGGATGTGTAGGATGGATGGTGTAGGATGATGGTAGTGGATGATGGTAGTGGATAGTGGTAGTGGATGATGGTAGTGGATGGTGGTAGTGGATGATGGTAGAGGATGATGGTAGTGGATGGTGGTAGTGGATGATGGTAGTGGATAATGGTTGTGGATGATGGTAGTGGATGGTGGTAGTGGATGATGGTAGAGGATGATGGTAGTGGATGGTGGTAGTGGATGATGGTAGTGGATGATGGTAGTGGATGATGGTAGTGGATGATGGTAGTGGATGGTGGTAGTGGATGATGGTAGTGGATGGTGGTAGTGGATGGTGGTAGTGGAGTGTGACTTACCTTAATAACATCTCATTAACACTGGCCCGGTGATGCGGGTAGCCCACACCCTACTCTCATGATTCACTCACAGGGAAGAGCTTAACCTGTATGGGCATATAACGCCTGGGAAATATAAGGTAAGTACTCTCAATGATACGAGGAAGTGGAAATTCCTTAATGACTTTTTTCTTTCCAGGGAGATTCCTTGATGCTGGTAGGCTCTCATCCAAGGATTGGAACCCCGTCATAGACTCACCGGACCCTCGTCCGTTACCCCTTTCCAGGCGCAATAGACCTGAGGTTTAGCGTATCCCATGTTATACATAATCTTTAAGGCACAGCACTCGGAAAATGAAAATGCAGCCTATTGTCAAACACTGAGATTGCCCTCGTCCAACAGCTGGCTGACAACTCTTTCAATGTCGCTACACTGTCTCAAATGTTAAAATGTTTTTTTGTTACTTCTCTGATTAACCACCCGGCCAGGATCAAGAATCCGCCTATGACCAAAGCTCCGTCCACTAAGCACTAACTCGCCTCCCAATCTAATTCCTTCCATATAGGGAATTTAATTGAATCACCCAGTCACCGTTCTATCCTTTGCGGATGAGCAGTGAATCGTGACTGAGCTGATTCTCAGGCACGCGGTGACTCCGTCAGAAAAACAAAGTT